CGTGGGCCCCATACGGAGGGGGCTCCCGCCTGAGACTTTCTCAAAATTCACTCACAGACGAGGCTCCCGCAGGATACTTCCTTCCCCCATATTCAAGCCTCAGGAGCCCAAAAATGACGACAGTTGCACGCATGAGGTCGACCCGCCCGTATTAAAAGCATGAAGCGCGGGCCCCATAGGGAGGGGGCTCCCGCCTGAGACTTCCTCAAAATTCACTCACAGACGAGGCTCCCGCCTCATACTTCCTTCCCCATATTCAGGCCTCAGGAACCCAAAAGTGACGACGGTTACACGGATGAGGATGACCCGTTCGGATAAAACAAGCATGAAGTGCGGGCCCCGTAGGGAGGGAGCTCCCGCCTGAGACTTCCTCAAAACTCACTCACAGACAAGGCTCCCGCATGAGACTTCTCCCATATTCAGGCCTCAGTCGCCCAAAAGTGACGACAGTTACAGGGTTCCGATGACCCGCTCGGTGCACCAACATGGAGTGCGGGCCCCATAGGGAAGGGGCTCCCGCCTGAGACTTCCTCGCAATTCAATCACAGAGGAGGCTCCCGCTTTGAGACTTCCTCCAAAGTCAGGCCTCAGAGATCCTGCGCGGGTGTCTAGAGAAAATGATGCTGAGTGATGAGAGAGAGTGTGCGATGTGCGACTGAGTATGATGATGATGGCGGGGGTGATGCTGATGATGAGGATGATCGATGGCCGACAGTGACGGTGATCGATGGTGAGTGACCGAGTATGATGATGGTGGTAATGACGATGGCCGATGGTGATGATGACCGATGACGGGGTGAATGCGTGAGAGAGGCGGAGAGTGGGAGGGAGGTGTTGTTCCTGCGCGGCGGGCGTCCAGAGAAAGCAAGAACCCCACCTTGGATGTGGGGAAATTCCCCAACAAAAATTAGCATTGTTAAAAAATGCTCCAACAATGGTCTCCCGACTATGTTTTGACTGTTTTAGAATTTTCCCTTCTGTAGAGGGACAGGCCCGACTTAACACTTTGTGGTGTGACTTGTTCTTCCAGCGCGGCGCAGCGTCGCAGCGCCATGTTCATGAAGCGCAGGGGCAGCTCCCCCTTGGTGTGCACATACCGGATGAAGAACTGCAGAAATCTGCGCGAGAGGTCGCGACGCTGGTTCTTCTACGAAACTGCAAGCTTCTCCTCCTCCTCCCGCTCCTCTCCCTCCTCCTCTTCCCTCTTCCCTCTCCTCCTCCTCCTCCTCCTTCTCCTCCTCCTCCTCCTTCTCCTCCTCTTCCTCCTCCTACTCTTCCTTCCCTCTCCTCCTCCTCCTCCTCCTCCTCCTCCTCCTCCTCCTTCCTGCTCACGGGTGGGCAAGACACCCTTGCCCAAGCTCAACGCCGAGGCCCACTTCGCGCCACACGCACCCCCGCCGCTTCCGCTCCAGTGCAGGCGGCTGCCGCCGCTCACCGCCGTGGTCGTCGGCGTCGCCACTCGCTTTGCTGCACTCTCTCGTCCGTCCTCGTCGCGTCGCTTGCCGTCCTCGCCGTCGCCGTTCGCCTTCGTCGCCGACGTCGGCGGTGGCGACTCTCGACTCCTGGACCTCGTGCCCCTCGGCGGGCGCGCGCGAGGCCAACCTGGACTCGTGGAGTCCTCCCTCCTCACTGGAGGAGCAAAGGACGACAGAGACCTGGACTTTCTCGGACCTCCCCGCGCATTTTTCGGATCGGCGCTGGGCCCCCTGGCCTTGTGCTGTGCTTCTTCTCCGGCTCGCTGTCCTCAATATCTTACTTCCCCGCTGCCCCCTCCCCTCCCGTCCTCGTCCTCGTCCTCTCGCTTGGGCGGCCGCGGCCGCGCCGCGCTCCGAAAAGATAGCGCGAGAGAGAGAGAGAGAGCGAGAGAGAGAGAGAGAGAAAGAGAGAGAGAGAGAGAGAAAGAGAGAGAGAGAGAACGAGAGAGAGAGAGACAGAGAGAGAACGAGAGAGAGAGAGAGCGGGTCGGCGGCGGGCGGGCGGGGTACCACGTGTGGCCTGGGCCATTGGGGCGAAGAGGGCGCGGGAGCACTCTTCCCAGAGGGACCGCAGGCGAACTTCTTGGGGGGGGCAGCATGCGCTCCGCCTCTCCCCACCGAAGCCCCCTCCTCCCCTCCCCCTCCCCATCCCGTTCTTCCCTTGCCTCCTTCCCCGTGCCGAAGGCGTGCGTCGCCCCAACGTGGCTTGTTCGGGGAGGACGCCCGGGGCGGCCTGTAAGGAGACACGGGGTCTCCGAAGAGCACCTCCCTTGAGCTCAATGGGGTTTCGCCACCGGGACGACACAGGCCGGTAGGTTGCTGGGCTAGTCCCTAGGCCCGAGCGAGGGCTCCTCACTCCACGCACAGATAGTGCGGCATGTTCCATCCCTCGTCCTGTCCACGTGTTGTCCCTATCCCAGGCAGCCCTTATCACCTTTCCCTTCCCACCTCGCTCGCCCGTTCCTCCGCCCACCCCCTGGTTGGCCCGCTTCACTGCCCTCTCTTTCCCAATCCTCATGGTCAGCAATGCTACCAGCATAAGCCCCGCGCAGAGGGAACGACAAAATTGAGTAGGATGCTAGCTGGCCAGCCCTTTCCTGCCCTGACACCAACTCACTGGCACACAACATCATCATGATCATCATCATCATCATCAGCAGCAGCAACAACAGCAGCATCATCAGCATCAGCAGCATCATCATCATCAGCAGCACCCATCATCCATCATCATCCATTATCATCAGCATCATCATCAGCAGCAGCATAATCCCCATGATCATCACCGTCATAATCATCCTCCTCATCTTCATCCGCATCCTCATCCTCATCCTCATCCACATGACCCATCATCATCCATCATCATTATCAGCATCAGCATCATCATCATCAGCATCACCTCTTCTTTCATCGTCATCATCACCTTGATCAACATATCTGGGCCGTGAGCTTTGGGGCCGCGCTTTGTTAGGCAAGATCTCGGGAGCTTTGCTAGAAATGTGAACTAAGGCTATGCCTCACGTGAACAACTAGCTCGCGGCCCGTTGTTTCGGCAATCGCGGCAGGATTCCTGGCATTCGCTGCGGCGCACCTGCTCAGTCTAGGGTCGTCAGCACTGGAACTCTGCCAGGACTGCGGGCCAAAACTACGCTTCGCATGCCCAACTAGCTTGCGGCTTCAAAGTCACGGAAATTATGCTAGGACTATGGGCGAAGGCTATGCCTCGCATGCCCAACTAGCTCGCGGCCAGTTATTTCGGCCAATCCGGCCCAACAATCAGGGCAGGATTCCTGCCATCCGCCGCGCCGCACCTGTTTAGGCTAGGGCCGTGGTTATCCAAGGTTTGGGCGGTATCGCCTGCGTCTGCCAATGTAAACATTTGCGCATTTCTGCCGCCATGTTTGCTTCAGCATAGCCCTGAATCGCCACCCTCAAACTGATTTCAGCACTGGACCCCAACCGAATCAGGAGGTAGCTGTGCGCATCTCCACTCCACTCTTCCTCTTCTGTGTCTTCCGCCCGATTCCCTATCCCTTCCTACCAGGCTCGTCAGCTCATCCGCCCACACCCCAGAAGGCCCGCTCCACTGACTTTGCTGTCCACTCTTTTGGGTGCGCACTGCAACCAGGCACTGTGGAGTAGGATGCCGGCCGCGCTCCTGCCCAGCCACCAGATGGCACACACCATCATCACATGCAGCGTCCTCGTCTCTGGAAGTCTGTCAGGACTGTGGGCTAAGCCAATACAATGCGTACTCAGCTACCCTGCGGGCCGTTGTTGAGTCCATGCCGACTCAACAAACACAGCTGGTGTTCTGGCGTTCGCCATGCGCAGCAAGCAGTGCCAAGGGTCCTGCTTGGTGGGGTGGTGGCAACGGCTGCCCCGGTTCACCTTCGTTCCGCTGCGTGGCCTACTCGGAATCTGCACCGCTACTGGATGGCACATCATCTCCGTCGTCACTGGTACTCCGCTGGGACAGCCGGCTCAAGCGATGTACACGTCGGTCGGAAGAAGTAGGTAAAAACATGAAGTAGGAAGGCGGATAAAGTGGATTAGGTCCAGGCCCTCCCAGAGAATAACAAAACACAGCAAAAGCATGTCGGCTCTTGAAGTAGGAAGGCACTTGAAGTAGATTGGGATCTGGGAATCCAGAAATACCTACTTTCAACGACCGGCTTGTAACCTATACCCAACTAGCATGCGGTCCGGTGCTCCGGCCAGGCCGGCTCCACAGACGCGGCCGGATGGTTGGCAGGCGGCCGGAGCGAGAGCAGTCCATGGGGTAGCTGGAAGGACCTGCCCATCCTTCCCATGCGTCTCTCGATCCTGCGCTCTTCGTGGTCCCCGCGCCGGTGCGCTCAATTCGAGGTATCCACCTCGAGGCGTTCACTGCGAGGTCGCCCCGCCTCGTGGACACCTGGCTGCGACGTCGGCTCCGTGGCTGCCGTCGCACTGCTCCCACTGTCTTCGCCCAGCGAGCCCCACTGCACCGCCACCGTGCTTTCATGGCGGTAGGGTGTCCGCGACGGGGCCCCAAAGGACGGGGCCCCAAAGGGCAGCCCAACCCGGCAGGCCCAACCGCATCTCCTGCCCCTGCTGGCCCAACCCCGAGCAGCCACTGACTGTCCATCCCTTCCCACCTCGTTCACGCGCTCCTCCGCTCAACCCCAAGCGGGGCCGTTTACTACCTTCCCCCTCCCCTTCCGATGGTACGCGATCCCCTGTACCCGTATGAGTTTCCATTATTCTTTCCCCCACCCCCCGCCTTCTCCTCGCGCAGCCCCAATCCCCCTTCCCGTCCCACCTCGCTCGTCAGCTTCCCCGCCCAATCCCCAGCAGGCCCGCGCGCTCTACTGACGTTGCTGTCCACCTTTTTGGGTACGCACTGCGACCAGAGTGGACCCCGAACAGTGGGGACAGGCACTGTGGAGTAGGATGCTAGCCGCGCTCCTGCCCAGCCACCAGATGGCCCACACCATCATCACCTGCAGCGTCCTCATCTCTGGAACTCTTTCAGGACTGTGGGCTAAGGCAGTACATTGCCTATCCAACTAGCCTGCGAGCCGTTGTTCCGTCCCGACCAACTCCAAAAAAAGCTGGAACTCTGGCACCCGACATGCGCAGATCGCGGGCCATTGTGTGGGTCCTGCTTGGTGGGGTGGTGGCAACAGCTGGCACGGTCCACCTTCGTCCCGCTGCTTGGCCTACTCGGTATCCGCACTGCCACCAGATGGCACATCGTCATCGTCGTTACTGGTACTCTGCTGGGACTTCGGGATAAAGCTATGCATCGCATACCAAACTAGCCTGTGTTCCTAGTGCGGTTTGCTAGCCAGAGTGCGACCTCGTTAGCAACCAAGAGCAGCATGCTGCGAGTTGGGCCTTTCCCAGGCGACGGGCGTCCGCCTTTGGCAATACCTCCTTGGCACGGGGACTGTTCAAAGGAGGCCCGATCGCAGACCTGGCAATTTGGTCAATAATCCATTGCCTCATTGCTTCCTCCCCTTCTTCTCCTTACCGCTCCCTTCCCCCGATTCCCCCCTACCGTCCCTCTGTCACTACCCCCCCTTCTATCCCCCAACCCTCCATGTCTTCCACCAGCGCCATCCCCTCTTCCCACCCCGCCGCCGCCCTTCACTTCCTCCGCCATCCCACCCCATCCCATCGCTTGCCCCATCCACTCCAAAGCGGCGCATGTGCAAGGACGTCTCCCGTTGCAGTACAGTCGGGGCGTTGACCGAAGGAACCCTAAATAAGGAACGAGGCCTCTTTTTTCCGATAAGTTAAACTTTGATTATTTCGCATCGAAAACCTAAGGAACATCCAAGGCAAGCTGCGAAACAATTAAGGAACGCGGAGCCCCTCCCCTACCAAAAAGGATTCCTTCTTCAGGGCCCCGACTGTATGCGCGGTTCGAGGTGCCCGAAATGTGTCGGAGAGGACCCTGCCCGAGTGCCTCCGCATCGTGTCGATCCACGAGGGCCCCCCGAACGCGCGCGGCGTGCGCGGAGCCCGCCCCGCGACGCCACTCCTCGCCGTGCAGGCCGGAGACGAGACGCCCACGCCGGAAGCGAAAGCGTCGGAGGTGCACCGTCCTCACGATGGGAATAGGGAGCCCACAAAGGACGTAGGCGCCCAGCTATGTACATGAACACGGCCCCTCGATCTGCGAGAATGGCCGCGTGATACGACCATTCGGGCAATGCGTACTCTCGAAACCAGCGCGGATTCATGCACGTGTACGTCCTTCTCTCGCTCCTGAGGGAAGACGGGCGCCAGTCACACTGGGCCTCCCGCCCGTCCCCGGGGGCGGGGGCGGAGAGGAGCGGGGCCACTCGGCAGCAGGAGCGAGGCGGGGACCGGCGGGGAGCGGCCCCGCTCCCGCCCCCGACGGGGGGCATGGCCTGTCGAGCTTCCCCTTCGCGGCCCCGCGGTCAAAGTAGTGGCCGCAGGTCTCCAGGAGCACGCACACGAGCTTGACCCGGAAGAAGTCCCAGGGCGCCTGTCGGGGCGCCGGGCGCTCCGGAAGGGGGCCAGGGCGGCAGCGGGAGAGCGCCGATGGTGCGAGCCCGCCTCGTCCGCATCCTGGAAGGGAGGAGGGAGGAGGGAGGGAGGGAGGGAGGGAGGGAGGGAGGGAGGGAGGGAGGAGGAGGAGAGGAGGAGGAGGAGGAGGAGGAGGAGGAGGAGGAGGAGGACGACGACGAGGGGGAGGGAGGAGGAGGGAAGAAGGAGAAGGGAGGAGGGAGGAGCAGAGGCTTCTCATCCTGACCCCGGTCCTGCTCCTCCTCACCCCTCTCCACGATGCCCTCCTTTCCCTCCTGCTGATGCCCATCCTCTTCCTCTTCACCTCCCCCGCTCCACCCTCCACCCTCCACCCTCCACCCTCCACCCCTCCACCCCTCCACCCCTCCACCCTCCCCCCTTCCCCCTCCACCCTTCACCCTCAACCCTCTTCACCTCCCCCCTCCACCTCTTCCTCCGCCTCCCCTCCCTCCCCGCTCTCCACTCCCTCCACCCCCTCCACTCTCCACCCCCTCCCCTTTCGCCCTCTCCTCCCCTCTACCCCTCTCCACCCTCCGCCTCCCCTCCCCTCTCCGCATCCTCTCCCCTCTCCGCCTTCCCTCACCTCCCTCTCCCCGCTCCCACTGTCCACCCTCCACCCGCCCTCCCCCTCCTCACCTGCCTCGTCCTGGCGATGGCGATTGCACCTGCGCTATGGCCGCTGCTGCGGCCAATGGCCTCGCAGATGGTGCTTCAGGAGGAGGAGGAGGAGGAGGAGGAGGAGGAGGAGGAGGAGGAGGATCGAGCCGCTTGCGATCCACTGTCTGTGCTGTGCTGCACTGCGGCAACACCGCAGGAAAGAGAAGCGTGCCGGGTACAACACAAGCAAGGAAAGATCTGTGCTCGCCCGTGCGAGCAGCGACTCTCAGAGTCGCCCTGCGAGAGAGGCGCGCAGGGAGGAGGAGGAGGAGGAGGAGGAGGAGGAGGAGGAGGAGGAGGAGGAGGAGGAGGAGGAGGAGGAGGAGTAGCAGGAGGAGGAGGAGGAGGAGGAGGAGGAGGAGGAGCAGGAGGAGGAGGAGGAGGGGAGGAGGAGCAGTTGGAGTTGGAGGAGGAGGAGGGGGAGAAAGGGAAAAGGGAGGAGGAGGCGGAGGAGGAGGAGGAGGAGGAGGAGGAGGAGGAGAAAGGAAGGCGGCGGGGGAGGAGGATGCGGAGGAGGAGGAGGAGAATGGGAGGAGAATGAGGAGGCGGCGGCGGGGGAGGAGGAGGAGGATGAGGAGGGAAGGCGGGAGGAGGGCGAGCGGGGGGAGCGGGGAGGCCGCGGGGCCCCCGCCCGCCTCCAGCGCGTGCTGCGGGTCCGCCAGGAACGCGGGCAGCATCTGGCCGGCGCCGTCCGCCGCGCCAGCGGCGGCGCTGCCGCTGGAGCCGCCCTGGGCGCGGGGAGGGGGGGGGGAGCGCAGAGATCCTGGCGTCGCAATTCTATATATATATATATATATATATATGTGTATATATATCTATATATTGAGACGCCAGGCGAACTTTTGACAGCCAGCGTGAATATCTGGGCGCGGCGACCTACACAGACGCACATCACCTGTGATAGTCGTACATGAGCTTGTAGCTCCAGGCGGCAACGCTGGCCGAGACACAGTTGAGCACTATGGAACACACCTGTGGACATAGGCACACGCACATGAATATCCTGGCGTCGCAATTCTGCACGGCAGACGACCACTCCATCCTGGCCGATGTTTGCCCACGACGGTCCTGACCGATTCCTTCCGCGACGAGTTCAGCCAGAAGGACGTTCCTTCCGGACGATCTCGCCCGGTAAAATTAACTGGATGAGATCGTCAGAACGAACTTGTCTGCAACAGGTGGCGTCTCTGGATGAACTCGTCTTCGGCCGAGCTCGTCTTCGGATGAACTCGTCTGGAGGAATTTGTGCGGACGAACTCGTCCAGACAAACTCAACTCGTCTTGGATGGGCGGACGAGACGGTTTTGGATTGAACAATGAGGGTTTCAACGGGCGGTTTCGTCCGGCTTCGGGCGCCAGGACCCTCACAGATTGATCCGGCTCGAAACATGCAGCAGAATCATGGGGCCCGGGGCTCCGGTCGTGATCTTTCGCGATGCTGCATGTGTTTCGCGAAGTCTGATCTCAGGGGAGGGCCTCGCGGTCGGCCTGTTGTTTCTACTGCTGCTGCTGCTGCTGCTGCTGCTGCTGCTGCTGCTCCTCCTCCTCCTCTTCCTCCTCCTCCGCCTCCTCCTCCTCCTCCTCCTCCATCCACCTCCTCCTGAGAGAGATACCCAGGTTTCCTTGGCAAAGGTGCATGCCCATTAGAATGCTGATAGCTTCACCAGGCTCTCCAGCGAATGGAAGCACTGTTGTGGGAACAACGTTGCGGCCGCTGTCGCAAAGACGGGGGCGCTTCCTCACAACCAGCACTCGAGTGCTGAATAGAGCTTGACCCATGCTGAACTGTCAAGACGTGTCTGATGTATGTCAGCCGTGCCCTCACCTTCTGAAGCCGGGCGACCCCAGCTCGCGACCGAGAGAGGCTGAGACGGGGGGTGGCGGCTGCGGGGAGTGGAGGCTCCCACGCTGTGCGAGTTCACCCTACGAGCGGGCTTGCGGCTGGCCTGGAGGTATTGGCTGAAGCGCCACAGTGCGGCCCCGGCCCGCTTCCTCCTCCTCCTCCTCCTCCTCCTCCTCCTCCTCCTCTGGGCCGTCGCTTCGTCGTGTTCTCATCTTCTCTTGCATGGTGGCACAACTCGCTTAACGGCAGCCCCGTTTCGCTTTCTCGCCAGCGCAGTGACCCTGCCTAGCCGCCGACCAACATGGAGCGCCACAGGGTAGAACCTTCCCTGGGCCTCCCCTGCCTCCCGCCCCCTCCACGCCCCGCCCTCGCCGAGGACACGATTATCGGTGGACCCGAAAAAGGTGGGCATGCACGCGTCGCCTAGCCATCGCACGGACGTTTATTTCCCGTGCATGCTTCGGTTTCGTGCCTTGTCATTTGCTTTGCAAGATGGTCCAAGATGCTCCTCGATGGTCCTCGCCGAGACAAAACGCACACGTCCGAGCGTTGCCAGGTTGCCGTGGTAGGATCCGTTCGAAGCTGCCTGCACCATCAACGGACTTCCAAGGAGCGAATGCCATGCTACAGACTGGCAGCTGAACCCCTTAAGGGAACGACTTTTCCTCACTAGCACGCCTGGCGAGGCCAGAATCTTCATACGTATGATGTGTGGAGCATTTCGTGAATCGGTGTGGATAGGCTTGTTGGCCCAGGGCTGCAAGACTGGCCCGCATTCCACTTACCACGCATCCAGTCATAGCCGTATCCGCCGTGGGCTGCACCCTGACCACGAACGTCGTGAGTTGCCCATTGAATAGCTGGTGCCGCTTGCCGAGTTCTTGTGGGAGGGGGTGGTGGGACGGTCAAGGATAGGCGAAAGTCTGGACAACCAAAGGGCTACCGCAAAAGCGCTGTATAGTTAGGTTTTGCGGAAAATCAGTCGCAGCCTTCGACATCTCGGATTCCAGCCACAGTGCGTGTCTGTCATCGCCTCATTTGGCGGGGCTGGCACAACTGGAGCGAGATTGTGCCGCAGTCGTAGTTCTTGGGAGGACTTGTCAAATTTCGACTGTTTGGTGGGGGTTAGCAGTATGCGTGCTTGGCGGGACGGGTGGTCGTTCACTCCCTTGGGGGTTTGTGGCCATCTACTTCCAAGCTGGCTCGCCGATCGTGTCCCCCCCATCCAGTCCTGGCCTCCCGCGAAGCGGAGTGATCAATTAAATCCTCCTCCTTCTCCTGTTCCTCCTCCTCCTGCTCCTCTTCCTCCTCCTCCTCCCGTCTCCCGCCCTCCACCAACCGTGCTCCTTCATCCTCCCTCCCTCCTCCCTCTGCCTTCCCCCACAGCTCATTTCCGCGCCATGGTGGGCCCACTCCGACGAAAGGTTTGCACCTCGAGGGTCGGATTCGTTTGGGAGGCAGCCGTGCATACCATGCGCCGGCATGGGCGGACATAGGAGGCCACACGCGAATCCTACCCCTACCCCCCACGATTTCTGAGGGGGAGGGTGGGGTTCACTTCGCTCGAGAGCTCCCGAACGAAGTGAACCCCACCCTCCCCCTCAGAAATCGTGGGGGGTAGGGGTAGGGTTCGCGTGTGGCCCCCCAGGACATGACATCGCTGTCAAGGAGGTCTGGAGGTCCGGTGAGTGGTACGGGAAGAAGGCGCCGCCAACGGCTCCGAGTGTGGGGCTACCGGCTACCGCTACACATGGTCCATCAAGGTCACCATTTGGTCGCCGATGGACCCGAAGAGCGTCACCCGGTGTCGCCGCGAGCGTGCGGAATGAAGCACCGCACACGACAAGTCGTGGACTCGATACAGTGTGGGCTGCACGACTCACGGCAGCTGATGCGCAATTGCCACAGAGGAAGATAATGACGACTACGGGCACGATAAGGATGAGGACAAGCAGGATAGCGATACAGAAGGTGAGAAGGATGAAGAGCAGGTGGAGAAACAGCGACATAACAGTAGCGGAAGAAGGAGGATAACGAGCAGCAGGACGAGGGAGAAATGAGGCACGCTAAGTTAGGGGGCAGAGGAGCAGAAGAGTGGCAGCAGATGAGGGAAAGAGGAAGAGAAAGGAGTCAGGAGGCGAAAGGGGCGGATGATGAGGAGCCAAAGGGATGAGGATGATGATGATGATGATGATGATGATGATGATGATGATGATGATGATGATGACGGTGATGATGATGATGATGATGATGATGATGATGATGATGATGATGATGATGATGATGATGATGATGATGATGATGATGATGATGATGATGATGATGATGATGATGATGATGATGATGATGATGATGATGAGGAGGAGGAGGAGGAGGAGGAGGAGGAGGAGGAGGAGGAGGAGGTAGGAGGTAGGAGGTAGAAGCAGCAGCAGCAGCAGCAGCAGCAGCAGCAGAGCAAGGACGAGAAGGATAGGGGCAGGCGCGGGAGGACCGCGGGGAGGGCACCCCTTCGGTGCCCGGGCGGCGACCCCTCTGGCCCGTCCGCCTCAGCGGGCCCCGCCGCCCGCTCGGGCGATCAGCTCCGCCGCGCGCTCGGCGCCGACGGCCTTTGAAGGGGAACTGGGACACACAAATAAATACACACAAATAAAAAAAAACATCCCCATATTTTCCCATATTTTCTGGGTTTTTGTCTTCCCCCCCACTTCCCATATTTTCCCATATGTTCCTGGGGAATGGAGGATGAATTGTGTCTGTGTGTTTCTTTTCCTCCTGAGCCTTGCTCAGGTGCCAGCCCAGCCCCCTGTCGTCCGGCCCGACGCGCGCGCGCCGCGCCGCCTCCAGCAGCGCCACCGCGCGCTCCCAGCTGCCCCGGCGGGCGTGCAGCGGGACCAGCACGCTGAAGGTGACGAAGCAACGACACACACCCGTACCCATCGGGCGGTCGGAGAGGGCTATGGGTGCGTGTTGTCGGAGGGGGGTCCCCGTTCGAACGGGAGCGTTCCCCAGGGTCCGACAACCCGCACCCATGCCCATAGCCAGTCCTCCTCCCAACGACCCCCCCTATGGGTATGGGTGTGTGTTGTTCGTTCGTCAGAAGGTGACGTCGTTCGGCCGGAGGCGGCGCTCCGCCATCTGCCGGAAGAAGCCGTCCGCGGCCGCAGGGTCGTCGGCGCTCGCGGCCGCGCTGATGAGCGTGGCGAACGTGTACGCGTTCGGCTCCACGCCCGCGGCCAGGCAGCGATCCAGGCTCCGCCGCGCGGCCTCCAGGTCCCTTACCTTTGAAGGGGCCCTGGGACACACCAATAAATACACACACAAAGAACTGGATTCCCAATCTTTTCCCATATTTTGGGGTTTTTTGTCTTCCCCCCCACTTCCCATATTTTTCCATATGTTCCTGGGAATCGACGATGACTTGTGTCTGTGTGTTTTTTCCCCTCCTGAACCTTGGCCGCGGCGTTCGCCAGCCCGTTGAACATCTCGACGCTCGGCCTCACACCCTGCTCCCTCGCGCGCACGAACCAGGCCTCGGCCGCCGAGAGGTTGCGGGCCCCCGCCGCCGCGCTGATCATGGCCAGGAAGGGCACGGAGTCCAGCGGCCCCGCCTGGCCCGCGAAGCGCTCGAACCAGGCCTCGGCCCTCGGGAGGTCTTTCCTCCTCGCCGCCGCGTGCAGGAGGCCGCTGAGCGTGAACGCGTTCGGCTCCATCCCCGAGGCGAGGGCGACCTCGTACCAAGCCTCGGCTGCCACCAGGTCGCCCATCTTCCCCGCGGCGTCGACGAGGGGGCTGATGGAGACCACGTTCGGCTGGACGCCGGCCGCCGAGGCCTGCGAGAGCCACCGCCGGGCCGCGGCCAGGTCGCCGCACTTCGCGGCAGCGTTGATGACGGCGGACAACATCTTCTCGTCGGCGGCGACCCTGGCGTCGCCGGCCTGCGCGAGGAGGCTCTCCGCCCGGCCCAAATCGCCCTGCTTCGCGCAGGCGCCGAGGATGGTGACGAACCCGATCCTGTCCGGCTCCACGCGAGCCCTGGCCGCGTGGGCCCACCACGCCTCGGAGCACTGGAGATCGTCCCGGGCCGCGGCGTCCTGCAGCAGCACGTTCAGGTCCTTGGCGTCGAAGGAGAGGGTTCCGGCCGCCCGGCCCTGCTGGAACCAGCGGTACACCGCGTCGGGGTCGCCGGAGGTGACCGCGGCGCTCACGACAGGGGAACGAACAATTACATGAACATAATAACTCGGAGGTCCGCGCTGATTTCTCGGATCGGCGCTGGGGCCCCCTGGGCGCCGCCCCTGGCGCGCTCCGCGCGCCAGGGAGGGGGGTCCAGCGCGGATCCAAGAAATCCACGACAACCTCCGAGCTTTTGTGTGTAAGTCATTTTTCATTCCCCTACATGAGGGTCCGAAACATCGTGGCGTCTGGCTCCACGCTGGCCTCGAGGGCCTGGTCGAAGCATCGCTGCGCCGCCAGGAGGTCGCCGCTGTCTCCCGCGGCCGCGACCAAACTGTTGGCCATCAGAGGGGAGAGCTCGACCCCTCGTTCTCGAGCTCGGCGGAACCACGTATCTGCGGCCTTGAGTTTGGTCGGGCATGTCCTCCTACAGGCGGATTTTGGAGGAAACTTAAAAATATTAGAAAAATCTGCAAATTTAGCCAATTACCCAGGGACGCACCCAACCCTTTGTACACATGAGGCGACCATACATGGGACCGCTCCATACAAAAGCGAGCACTGAAGGATCCGCCGTGCCCTTGAACGATTCGCCAAAAACGTCGGGCCAGAGTCACATGTTCACATATGCGGCGTCGGTCTTAAGAGTCAGATCGTTGGCAGGAAGGCGGCAACGAGGGAATGTGGAAATACAAAACGGAGAGACGAGTGGAGACATAGGCCTCCCAGAAGCCCGCGAAAGTGGCGACAGTTTCGCAGATCGAAGCTCCTCAGGGGACGGCGAGAACTCGTGGTGATCTGCGTAAGACGCACCTCCGCTGAGCATCCCAGGAGCCCACGAAAGTGGCAACGGTTCGCAGATCGCAGCACCCCAGGGGACTGCAAGGTCTCGTGGTGATCTGCGTAAGACGTACCACCGCTGGGCCTCCCAGAAGCCCGCGAAAGTGGCGACAGTTTCGCAGATCGCAGCCGCCCAGGGGACGGCGAGGTCTCGTGGTGATCTGCGTAAGACGCACCTCCGCTGGGGCTCCCAGGACACCCCGAAAGTGGCAACTGTTTCGCAGATCGCAGCCGCCCAGGAGACGGCGAGGTCTCGTGGTGGTCTGCGTAAGACGTGCCTCCGCTGGGCCTCCCAGAAGCCCGCGAAAGTGGCGACAGTTTCGCAGATCGCAGCTCCCCAGGGGACGGCGAGGTCTCGTGGTGATCTGCGTAAGCTGCGTAGAACGTACCTCCGCTGGGCCTCCCAGGAGCCCACGAAAGTGGCGACAGTTTCGCGGTTCGCAGCCCCCCAGGGGACGGCGAGGTCTCGTGGTGATCTGCGTAAGACGTGCCTCCGCTGGGCCTCCCATGAGCCCACAAAAGTAGCGACAGTTTCGCAGATCGCAGCACCCCAAGGGACGGCGAGGTCTCGTGGTGATCTGCGTAAGACGTACCTCCGCTGGGGCTCCCAGGAGCCCACGAACGTGACTACAGTTTCGCAGATCGCAGCCGCCCAGGGGACGGCGAGGTCTCGCGGTGATCTGCGCAAGACGTACCTCCGCTGAGCATCCCAGGAGCCCACGAAAGTGGCGACGGTTTCGCAGAACGCAGCACCCCAGGGGACTGCAAGGTCTCGTGGTGATCTGCGTAAGACGTGCTTCCGCTGGGCCTCCCATGAGCCCACGAAAGTGGCGACAGTTTCGCAGATCGCAGAACACCCGGGGACTGCGAGGTGTCGCTGTGATCTGCATAAGACGTACCTCTGCTGGGCCTCCCAGGAGCCCACGAAAGTGGCGACAGTTTCGCAGATCGCCCCCCCAAAGGAGGAAGAAAACGAGGAGGAGAAAGGAGAGAGGCAGGAGGAGGGGGGAGGAGTGGGTGAGTGAATGAGGGATGGAGACCACGGTGCTCTATTCAGAGAACCCAACCAAGGGAGGGTTGGGAAAAATAGTGGAAACATCGTCTCCAGACTAGTTTTAAAACAATTCCTGAATATTCCTCCCGTAGAGGGGCATGCCCGACTTGAGCCTTGCGGTTGGTCGACTTGGCGGCCGCATCCATCATGCTGCCAAAGGCCACCGGGGATGCCATGTCTACGCCATCGCTCTCTGCCCTGGCAAACCAGCGCTCCGCGGCATCCAGATCACCCGCCTTGGCCGCTGCATCGAGCATGATGGTGTACTGGACAATGTTACCTTCAGCCTCAAGCTGTCCTCCCAGTGTGGTTGAGGACTTACGCGAAAACCACCGTTCAGCACTCTCCAGGTCCCCCGCCTTTGCTGCCGCCTCGGAGAGCTTTCCAAACGTCCTGAAGGAGGAGGAGGAGAAGGAGGAGGAGGAGGAGGAGGAGGAGGAGGAGGGCGAGGCGGAGGAGGAGGAGGAGGGGGAGGAGGCGGAGGAGGAGGCGGAGGAGGAGGGGGGGGGGAGGGGGAGGAGGGGGAGGCGGAGGAGGAGGGAGAGGCGGAGGAGGAGGCGGAGGAGGAGGAGGGGGAGGGGGAGGGCTTTCCAAACGTCCTGAAGTTCGGAACAACACGCATCTCGAGCATCTCTTCGAACAGCCGCTCTGCCCGCCCGGGCAGACCCGCGTTCGCGAAGGCCTTCAGCATCGTGTTGAAGAGCATGCGGCGCTTGCCGGGAGGTGTGCTCGGCTGCAGCCTCCGCAGGACCGCCTCCGCGCCGACGGCGTCGCCCTGCTCCGCCAGGGCGTTCATCGCGGCGAACTCGGCCTGCAGCGCCGCATCGCTGTACAACGCCCGCCTCGCCAGCCGAGCGCACCTGCCCGCCCGCGGCCGCGCGGCCCCGAGCGCGGCCCGCGCGCGCGGCCCGCGCGCGGCGGCCCGACCCGAGGGGTCGGCCGCTCCGTCCCCGGGGAGGCGCACCCCGCCGTCTACGAGTGCCTGGCGCTCGGAGGTCCGATCCGAGCCCCGGACCTGGAACGGCGGCTCCCTCGGGCCGAAGCTCTTGCCCGTGCTCTGGCGCCCGCCCGCGCCCCGCGCGAGCTGCGCGGGGGCCACAGCCGGCGGGGGTCCTCGGGAGGCCCGCAGCGCGGGAGGCAGCTCCCCCTCCTCCCCCCCATCCTCCTCCTCCCTCCTCCCCCTCCTCCTCCTCCTCCTCCTCCTCCTCCTCCTCCTCCTCCTCTCCTCCTCCTCCTCCTCCTCCTCCTCCTCCTCCTCCTTTCGCGCCAATCCTCCCCGCCGCAGGCCGCCGGGCGGGGCGGCCCCCAGGACGGCCCCGAGTGCGGGCGGCAGCTCGCCCGCGGTCCGCGGGCGCCGCAGCGGCGCGAGCGCGCCGGCCCGCGCTCGCCGCGGCGACGGCGCGAACAGCGGCGCGAGCCCGGCGGGGAGGAGGGCGACAGGCCACAGCGGCAGGCGTGGCCACCACCCGCGGCGCTTCCGCGGGGGCCTGCCTTGCAGTGCTCGTCGGCGGGGCATGGAGTGCGGAGAGGGCCCAGACCCCCTCGAGGCATGGACAAGTCACGACGGGAAGTGCTTCCATATTTTCGGCCCCAGGGTGCTCCTAACAGGCCTCGGGGCCGTCAAAAAAACACTCGGGACCAGAAATCGGTGCCGATGGGTCAACACCTCTGGGGGTCGACGCCATGAAAAAATCATGACGTCGGGGGCCTGGGGAGGAGAGAGGAGGAGGGAGGAGGGAGGAGGTTGGGCCAAGAAGGCGGGAGCCAAAATGGCTGCGGGTGCTCACGGAGTGGGGGGGGGCGAGAGCACTGCAATCCCCAGCATGCTAGCAGTCGTGACTTCAATTTACATGTCTCCCAGAGCATATACCAGTCCGCAGCCCATGGGTTTCTTCCACGCCCTACACTCCTGCCCAGGAGGAACGGTCTGAGGACGACTACGGGAAGGAGGGAGGAGGGATGAGAGAGGGGACTGACCTAGCAGAAGGAGGAGGAGGAGGAGGAGGAGGAGGAGGAGGAGGGATGGGCAACAGCAGCAGCAGCAGCAGCAGCAGCAGCAGCAGCAGCAGCAGCAAGAGGAAGGCATAGAGGGATGAAGAGATGGAGGGAGGCAGGATGAATAAAAGTAGGCAGGAGAAGTTGGAGGGAGGGAGGGAGGGAGGGAGGGAGGGAGGGGAGGGAAGACAAGTAAGAGGAGGGGTGAGAGGAGGTTGGGGAGGAGGATGCGAAGAATGCGGAGAATGACGAGGCAGAGGAGGAGGAGGAGGAGGAGGAGGAGGAGGAGGAGGAGCAGAGTGGAAGAACATCCTTGCGTCGTCATATTGTTGTTGCTGTTGCTCCGCTTTCCTGACGCATAGCTGCCGCGGGTCGGACAGTGAGGGTGATGCTGCGCCCGGAATATCGTATCCGACATGGTCCACTCCTCTCCCTCCATGGCATCTTCTTGCCTCTCCCCTCGGATATTCCCCAGCGCGTCTTCCTGCCTCACCGATGCAGGAGTAGGCGATGTAGAAGGACGTGGAAGATTCAGCCCCCATCGCTCCGCCACTCTCCCCCTTCTCGTCGTCGTCGTCGTCCTCCACCTCCTCCTCCTCCTCATCTTCTCCCTCCTCCCTCCTCCTCCTCACCTCCTCCTCCTCCTCCTCCCCCTCCTCCTCCTCCTCCTCCTCCTCCTCCTCCTCCTCCTCCTCCTCCTCCTCCTCCTCCTCCTCCTCCTCCTCCTCCTCCTCCTCCTCCTCCTCCTCCTCCTCCTCCTAGGTGGCTTGGCACCGTGGCCCCCGCCCCACGCCCCCCCGCAGCCATTTTGCCTGCGGGCGGGCGCCGCGGGGCCCGCGCCATAGCCCCCGCGCCGGCGGCCCGCAGCGTGCGGGCGCCTGCACATCGTGCTCTCCTGGGTGGCGCTGGCTGCTGCGCTTGGCCGCGGCCCCCGCCAGGCGTGCTGGGCATCACGGCGACCGCAGGAGCGCCCGTGGCATGGCCCAGCAGCAGCCCAGGCAGGCTGCGGCCCCGCCCCAGCAGCCCAACTGGCCATGTGCTGCGTCGAGGCTTTGCGGGTTCCGCAGCAACTTCCCCAGCCGCGACACATGCTGGAAGTGCGGCAGGGACCGCCTCGGCCGCCTGGTCCGCGAGTCGCCCGCCTCATCTGAGCAGGGCGGGAGGTCGGCATATGCGAGCCGTCGCCGTCGCTCTGGCCCTCCTCCTCGCGGGCGTGCTGGTCCTCCTGGTGGGGCAGCCCAAGGAGAACCTGCTGGGCCTGCAGTCGTGCGCGCCAGGCAAGGACTGGCGGCGCTCCAGAAGCTTGGCTACGCCGACGAGCACCCGCTCATCCAGGCTGCGCGGCAGGAGCTCGCCACCCTGGAGGCTGAAGAGCGTCGCGCTCAGCCCCCTGAGCAGCTCTTGGTCTCCCTCCAGAAGCGTGTGGAGGTGGCGCGGGCTAGAGCCTCTCAGCTGGCGGACGACCTCGGCGAGGCCACCGCGAGGGTCGACGACCTCCGCAAGCAGCAGGGCGTGGCCGACATGGAGGTCAAGAACCTGGAGGCGGAGGTCCAGGCTGCCCAGCGCGCCGTGGCGGCCTCGGCGGCGGGCTCCAGTGGCGTCGACTTGGCAGCCCTCGCCTCCACGCTGGTGGGCCTCCAGGCCACGCTCGCCAGTGCCCCTGCACGCGTCGTCAGTGGGCAGGGTATCACTGTCTTGGAGGCGATCGGGCAGCAGGTTGCAGCGCTTGGCACAGCGTTCCCCGCCGCCTCAGCCCTCATGGCTTCAGGTGCTGCGGCTGCCCCCGCTGCCGCTGGAGCAGGAGGCCCGCCAGACTCCCTGCCAGCTGCCACAGCTGCCGCGGCCCCCCCTGCCGCGGCGCTGCCTCCTGGTGCTGCCTACGCGTTTCGCGCTGGCGGGGGAACCGCCGCTGCAGCCTGGGAAGTCGCAGGTGAGGCCGACATGGAAGGCTAGACACCGTGGGCGTCGTGGCAGCGCCCGCGTGAAGGCCTCTTTCGTCACCTACAACGGCTCGTCCTGGGCTTCGTGCAGGGAGTTTCTGACCTACTGCGACCTTGGCATCCAGGTGGTGGCGGCCCAGGAGTTGCGCATCGATGGTGATGACCGTCGGCGCGCTGAAGGCTGGGCTGCACGGGCTGGGTGGCATGCTATTATTTCATCATGCAGACGTCTGGAGTCGGGCCGCCCGTCTGCTGGAGTTGTTTTTTTCGTTCGACGTCACATCAGCGTGACGGTGCTGCCAGGCTTGCGAGATTTTGACCTGATTCCGAGCTTTTGTGTGGCCTGTCATGCCGATTTTGGCATCAAAGGTGGGCTTGTGCTGTTGTCTTGCTACTTTGAGGTGGGACGATGGAATGACGTGAATGCGATGCGGCTCTACGACATTGCTACGGCGCTGCGGGGTTGGAACAGGCCGTTTCTTGCGGCGGGGGATTTCAACTGCGATCCAAAGCACCTCTTGGAGTATGGCTTCCTGGACTTCATTCCTGCAGCAGTGGTCGCGAGGCCTCCCGATCCTACAAGGCATCATCCTGTTGGTACGTGCCGCAGCGCTAAAGGGGCCTACTCGACCATCGACTACTGGCTGGCCAGCTTGTCTATCGCGGGCTCGATGGCGAAGCCCCACCCTGTGGAGGGATGGCCTGCATCGCCACACTTCCCTATGCTGACGTCCCTGGACGCACGGGCTAAGGCTGTCAAGTTCCTCGTCTTGCGGGCGCCGAAGGCTTTCCCGAAGGCAGCCCCGACTGAGGACATCACGCCTGTGCTGGCAGCTGGTACCCGCGATCTCATCGAGGATGATGTCGCACGGGGAAGAGCTGCGAGTCCTGCTCAGGCTCAGGCGAGGCTGGATCGCTTGTACGCTGAGTTCGTGAATGTCGTGGAGGAGGAGCTGCTTGTGCGGTATGGCATCCCTGTCAGCGACGCTCCTCGCTACTGCGGCCGTGCTGACAAGGTGGCCTACTGCTGGCGTCATGCTGGGGGAGCGCCTGCGGCTGCTAGGCCTGCTGCACCTCCCGACGCTCGGCGTGCTCGACGACTGGCCCAGGCGACGGACGACGCGGTGCGTGCTGGCCTGCAACCTCTGGATTTGCTTCGGCGCCTGGACAGGCTTGTCTCTCTGGGCGCCGAAAGGTCTTTTCGATCGCTCGAGTGCCAGCACGTGGTGGCCACGCTGCGTGGCGTTTTGCCGCTGGCACGAGAGGTCGTGGAGGCGTCCCCCAGTGCATTCCAGGAGCTGCTGGATCGCGCGGCCTTGGTACAGCCAGGTGGCCACGCTGCGAGGCATGCTGCTGACCTTGGGATGATGGGTCTCGATGGCATTCAGCGCCTGCTGTTGGATTCGGTCTATTTTGTCGTGGGCTGGCTTCGAACCTATGCCGACGGCCTGGAGCAGGAGGCGATGGCTGAGCGCAGGCGGGACTTTGCGCGATGGGCTGCCAACTGTCGCGAGTCTCGCATCAAGCCGCTGTTCAGCTTCACTAAGCCGCCTGGTGTTCCCCATTCCCAAGTGTTTCGGCATCAGAGGCCCTCCACCCTGGCTCAGGATGTTGCTGATGATCAAATGGATGGTTGGTCGGGCATCTGGAATGCGCGCCCTGCCTCTGAGGTCCCCACCAGTGGTCATGTGCATGGAGCGGCTGATGGGCCCGACGACTACGTGGTGAGGCACCTCGCGGATTTCCCTGACACGGCCCAGCTCTTTGAGGATATTCGGCGTTTGCCCAGCGCCTCCTTGCCTGTGCCGAAGATTGGGCAGTTGCGTGCGGCAGCTAAGTCCTTCAAGTGGCATACGGGGCAGGGTGCTGATCGGCTCGCCCCTCGTTCTCTCAGCCTGCTCACTGACGAGACCCTCTCGCTGCTTGTGTATGTGCTTTGGCTGGCGGAGCACTGGGGGCGCTGGCCCACGCAGATGGCTGCCGTCCACATCGTGCTCCTGGCGAAGCCCAAGGGTGGATGGCGGCCCATCGCGCTCTTGCAGGCGACCTACCGCGTATGGTCGCAGGTCCGCAGCGGGCAGCTGCGGACTTGGCTGCTGGAGCACGACAGGCCTTTCTTCGCCCTGGCCTCTGGCAAGACCACTCTTGGTGTGGCATCAAGGGCCTTGGTGAGGGCAGAGGCTGCACTGGCGGTCGAGGATGGCGTCGTCACGGCCATTGTTGATATCGAGAAGTGTTTCGACCGCATCTGCTGGCGGAGGCTGGTGGCTGCGGCGGCCAAGCATGGGTTTCCGCGCCAGCTGATATCATGTGCCTTGGTGATGTACCGTGCGCCTCGCAGGTTGGTGTGGCAGCAGGCTACGTCGCATGCGGTTACGGCATCCCAAGGAGTGCTGCCAGGCTGCAAGTTCGCGATGGCCATGGTACAGCTACTGATGCTCGCGTCCTTGGATGATTTCGTATGCACGGTGGAGCTCGGCATCCCTGCGCAGGTGGGTTTCTCCGTTTCGTTGGACGTTTTCGTGGATGACCTTACCCTGCAGGTGGTGGCCAGGCGGACGGATTTGTGCAGGGTCGCCACCGACGCTGTGGCCTTGCTCTGCGACACCCTGCTGGATCTTGGCCTTCCCGTGGCGAAGTCAAAGGCGTTCCTCACTGCGTCTGACGACTCTACCGCCCCCGCCGTGGCTCGGCTTTTGCGGAGATACGGTTTCCAGGCCAGGTCCTGGTTGGAGGTCCTAGGCCTGGAGGTGGCTGCTGGCAAGAGCGTTCGTGCTCGTGTGCTTCGGGGTCGGGTCGGGCGTGTCTCGAAGCGGGCCAGGCACTTCAGGAGGCTTAGTCATCTCGGGGCGAAGTTCAGGCAGGTTCCCAAGGCTGCAGTCGGCCCAGCTATCACTTACGGTTTGGGCATTGTGGGAGCTGGGCCGCACCTTGTCAAGCGTATGACCTCCCTGGCGAAGCTGGGCTGGAGTGCCATTCCCTCGGGGGCTTCGCACTGGATCGCTTCTATGTTGGAGGACGGCTTTGAATCTCAACCAGCGACGATGGCCATTGTTGGACCTGTGTTCAACTGGGCGTTAATGATTCAGTCGGGTGAAGTTGATCACTCCACGTTGCAGACGGCATGGCGCTCTCAGTTTTGGAACGTGGCCTCAGTGGATTTGCGTGTGAGCTGGAAGCTGGTGGCGGGCCCCGCGGGTGCTTTTGCGCGGTCTGTTACGTACCTGGGCTGAACTGTTTCCTCAGCATTTTGTGTGCGTACTCGTGCTGGTGTTACTTTGGACTTACGTGAGGTGGCGCCGTCTGGTGTCAAATGGCTGGCGCTCAAGGACTTTGAGGTCGTGGTCTGGTACCAGTGGGCTGCCAGGCCAGAGGTGATGCCAGAGGTGGAAGGCCCGTCTCACAAGGACCCTGCGGGAGCGTGGTTGGGGCCCATACGTGCTTTGCTTCGCGCGAGCCCCAGGGCCAAGCGCTGGGCATTGGATCCGCTCGCTCGGGCTGCACTACGCACCCCCGTCGTCGGGGGCCACTTCACGCAGAAGCGATTGCATCGTCATGCTCACGCTCATTCCCCCGACTGCAGGAACTGCCCTGGTGTTGACGGAACGGCTCACCACAGGTATTGGAGGTGCCACGTGTTTGATGACGTTCGTGAGTTTGCTGTTTCTGAGGCCACCCTGGAGGCGGCAAGGAGGGCACCACCTGGGGACTTGCTCTACTCTCGCGGGCTGTACCCCAACTCCTGTCTGCCAGCTTTGCCGCCCAGGAGTGATACGGGCATTTGGTGTTATGATCGTGGAGCCCGGTCTGAAGGACACTTTGTCGTCACAGGCTCGGTGTTCACTGACGGTTCGTGCAAGATGTTGCTCCACTGGGATGATGCTGACCGCGCGGGCTGGGGTTTCGTGGTTGTGGGTGATTCTCGCTACTACGGAGCAGTCTTTGGGCCGCTTCCTGGCCATCGTCAGACATCAGCTCGAGGCGAGCTATTCGCAGTGATTCAGGTGCTGTCCGTCGGCGTGGCCCCGCTCCACATCTACACGGACTACTTGCCACAGCTCGAGGGGCTGGCGCGCGGCAAGCGCTGGTGCCTCAATCCGAGGCGTGAGAATGTTGATCTATGGCGTCGCCTTTTTCACCAGCTTGAGGATCACGGAGGTTTTTCCGTTTCTGGTGGCCTGGAAGTGCCGATTCTTTTCTCGTACGTCAAGGGCAACTCTTCTGAGGATTCCTGGCATCGACGCTGCAATGATCTCGCTGATCAAGCGGCGAAGAGGGGTCGGCAGGTGCACGACCTTCCTCGGGGCGTGGTCGAGAGGTACACCGACTCGCTGGCCACGCTCAAGTCTATCGCGACTTGGATTGCGAACGCCTCCAGGATGATTTTCGACGGCGCTGTGGCCCCCGATCGCATGGACGTTCCACGGCGGCGGGACATGGAGCTGCGCGGCCGCTGGGAGCAGCTGGAGGCGGCAGGCGCTGGTGGCGGCAGCGCCGTGAGGGCGCGCCGTGGTGCGGGCAAGCCCGCTGGTGAGCAGGCGTGCCCGCCCCAGCTCCTGCATCGTGTGCGGCTCAGGGGCAGGAAGTATTGCTGTGATCGTTGTTCCGCTTACGCGGTGACTCCGAAAGGTGCTGCTAGGCTTAGGGGGGCCCTTTGTAGGGTCGCGGAGGCGGCGGCCCTCTGGGGCCTCGATGGTGTTTCGCCTGTGCCTTCCTCGGCTGCGGCCCCTGCGGGGCTGTACGGCCCGTGTGGGTCGGGCGGGTGCGTTTCGGGCCCCCCTGAGGTTGGCCCCTCCTTGGAGCTTCGTGCTGTTGAAGCCCCAAGTGGGCCAGAGAGGCCGCCGCCCGTCGCGACTGAGGGTCTTGAGCGGGCCTTGGCCTTCAAGCGGGTGAGATTTCAGGTGGATGGTGTGGGTGGGGACCAGCTTGATGCTGAGTTAGGGGATGCGCGTCGGCGCGCCAAAGAGGCACGCTCCCTGGGCCCACGAGAGCCCCCCCCACCGCCGCCCCCCCCCGCTCCTGCCAGGACGGTGAGGGACCGCAGGGCTGGTGGGCCCCTGGAGGGGCCTCGTCCGAAGGCGCCTCGGACTGGGGTGGCGCCCTCGGCTTCGGGGGTCGGTGTGCCTGCGGGCTCTGGGGAGCTTGGGGGGCCTCCGCCCTCCAAGCGCCCTCGGACCTCTGGGGGTCCTGGCGGGCCTTCCTGGGTTGCGCGTGAGGCCACCCGCCCTGAGGTCCCTCTCCCCGCTCAAGGCCCTGTTGGGCCCAGCAGTGCTAGAGGCCATCAAATTAGTCTTGCTGGTGAGACTCTTGCATTCTGCCTTCGTTGTGGCGCCAAGACCCAAGCCGTCGGCCCCTCGCCCGCGTTTGTGGGGGCCGTGCGAGGGAATTGCATCCAGCAAGGACTCCGCCTATTTGAAGCGCCTGGTGATGGGTAGAGACCCTGTTCAGGCGAGTGGCGGGGTGAGCCCCGCCCTCTCTTCCCCACAGATGATGCCTGCTTCTGGCTTCGTCTGCGGTAGTCCGAGGTTTCGTCTCTGGCTGGTTTCTCTTTAATCGTCGGGTTGCGCGCCCTCGGCCTTTTTCCCGTCTCGTTTCCCCCCTTTTCGCTCGCTCTGCGCACCCGTTTCGGTCTGGTCGTGCCTCCTCCTCCTCCTCCTCCCTCCTCCTCCTCCTCCCTCCTCCTCCTCCTCCTCCTCCTCCTCCTCCTCCTCCTCCTCCTCCTGCCGCTGCAGCGGCCCAGACCGCCCCACTTTTCCCGCGGCACTTCAGTACACTTCCTTACAAAGTCAGGTGTTTCAGCGGCATGGCTTCTCCCTCGAGGGGCTCTCCTCGCCCATGAGAGAGGGGGTCGGGGCCCCTCGCGCGAGGCGCTGGCTCCTCGCCGTGAGCGCCTTCGCCTTCCTGCAGCTGGGCGTGCTTGGCGCCCTGGTGGTGGAGAGGACTCGCCCCCACGCTGAAGATGGCAACACATTCGCACTTCGGA